TGTGCAGTATTCTGACGAACCGATACAACAACATAAGTGCAATGGGACAAACAGCAAACGAACAAAAAACAGCAGTAAATGAAGGAAGTCAGAATGAACATAGACCAATGTAAATAATCATTAAAAAGCCACTTGTTGATTGATTCTGGTCTTCTAGTGAGTTATGGCAAAGACTTTCAGGACAATAATGAATCTCGACACCCCCCCCCCAGCATACATCTCAGCTTAACGGAAGTTTTTACATTTTTATTTCCACTTTGTCACTACGTAGTCAATTATTCAGTTTAGGTTCTTGCTATTACGATGTCAGAGAATTTCTCCGAGCTAATCGACATAACTGAAGGACGTACGTTCACTGTAATCCTTTGGTTTCCCATCGGTTATATCTCCACGTGTTATGTTGGCGTTCATTTAGTGGTGTATTAGCGCAGTTGTCCAAGAGGTCTCCTTCACACTCCGCAGATTTCAGATTAGATTACGCTCGAAGACAATCTTTACCTTATTCACGAATTTACTACTGATTGTTTCAGACCGGGGTTTGCTCAGTCGGTATATCGTCAAACTCGGGAAAGAGAGAACCTGGGTTAAACCCTAGCCGGGGCCACTAACCATTCTTCCTTCTGAGGTTGATTAATGAGTACCATTCTAAGGGAAAGAAAGAGGAGATTACACCACTTGCTACATAGCTGTAGACTCTACCTTTAAAAAATTAGGCAATCCTGACTTATGGCATAGAATGGGAGATCAGCACCGCACCATCAGCTTCATAAAAAGAAAGGCGCCAGAATGGCCCATTCATTCAAGTAAAGGAACACCAGCGTTCCAGTGAAGACTGACTTTCCTTACACTTCCACGATGGGTGTTATTTTTGGCCCATTTATTTCATGCAGCTTACCGTGTGGAGTAGGTCTCTTTGTTTATTCCCACTTACGCGACTCCGAGGATCTTTCTTCTATAGGCGATATGTCTACAGTAGCATTTAATCTATTTCTTCAAGATGAAAAAATTGTGAAAGAAGTTCGCACCAACTATGTTGCTGATGTCATTATCACCTGAGGTATCCGAATCAAAGACCGAATACCGAGATTAATAATGTTTGACGCTTTGACTTCTCAGAATGATATAGGCGATGTTTGTTGCTGCGGCAGAGGACCGTATTCCTCGTCGCAAGCAAGTTCACCTTTAGCAGTTGGTTAGGGTGGCCACCGACACATCTGGAGCTACTTGTTTTTACTTCCAGGAGGAGAGTGGTTTTGGATAATTTTCCTTTCTCTCTTCGATTGGTTCTATCAGATCACGACAGACAGACATCGGTCTGTAATTTTTTCAGACAGCACTCAGACCGGTTGTCTCAGGATGTTTTCATTATCCATTCAATGAACCATCGTACTTTCAGAATGTTCTGCAGACAGTCCTGTTGGGAAGTGTCCAACATCTTTTCGAATCGACTGTGATACAGCTGAAAGTTTAGCCTTCCACATTAGAATGAGCTGCTCTGACGCCGCTATTTGATAATAATTGCGTTGAATAAATCTTCCCTTTTTAATCATGTTTTTTCAGGGCGAACAAGGAGTACGGCGATGGCCTCCGTGGTTTTGCTCTGTCCACTGCTCAATACAGTCTGCTGCGTATCGAAGAAAACTCGAATCCTCATCCTAAGAATTGGAGGTATGTGCCAATCGGCCTTTCGTCTGATCACTTTCAAAGTGTAATGTTCTGGTGATTTGGAAAGCGTAATCATATGCGCAAAATTATGTTAAACGAAAGAACTCCTAAACATTGAACAGCGGTTAAGACACTAATAATGCAGTATTATTATTGTTTGTATCTGCACTTAAAAATGCGAGCATTAGTATTTATTTTGCTTAAAACAACAAAAATGTTAATACTGCTAGTAGCACTATAGTAGCAAACGAAAAATTATATGGCCAGGATTGAAACTAGAAAGTACTAGTTCAGTATTAGTACATTTTCTGAAAATAGGGCTCTCTTGTCTTGAACCTAACAGCGTTTTTATACAGTGGAGGTGCTGCTATTGTTAATTCGAAGGTTGCTACCAGCACTACTCGTATAATGAAAATCATAATAGTACCATTTGAGCGCGCGGCATTGTTACAGTTAGTGGTACTTTAGAATCACGATTAGAAGTAAATCTAGACGCAACAGCAGTGCTATCAAAATCACTACCGTCGATGGCAATTTATTTTGAGCATTGCTACTATAAGGAGAAGTACTCATGTCCTTGCAGTACCCCAAAGATTGCTTCGCTTTCACTTTGCAGGTCGTGAGACGAGATTTAACTGAACCTTTATTACAAAATGGTGTACAGGAACTGGTGTTCCAGCGCCGGTTTGTCCTTTTGTATAGGCTGATTTCCGGTTTCGTAAAGGAAGGTCAATTCCTTGCCATGGTTGTTTACTCCGGAAGCGGCCTCTAATGCTTCGAGTGTCAGGCAGGTTTCGCGCTCGATTGTTCCCCGGCATTTCAAGTACATAAGTGATATTCCCGACAATTTGTAATACCACAGCCACGATATGATTCTGTAATCATGAACACTTCTGTACTGCATCCCAAATAGCAGTTTGAGGTCTGGTTCACTGGTGATTAGTATTATGCAATAGTATTGGTAATTAAAACTTAACTGTTAACGGCGAGTAGAATGAGCATCCTTAAAGTACCATTAATCGAGGCATTTTCGCAACTACTAGTACTTTAGATGGTTATTAGAGGGGTTGACCGGAGGGAAAAATGGAGATTAGCGTTGACAGTTAAACATCTCAGGATCGATTAAGAAATGCAGTACAGTTATGCAGTTAACTGTATGTGTTGTATGTCTACAAGTGTTACTCTTATGAATACATTTTATAATTCAATATTTAACGGTGCGTATAGTACTGCAGGTAACACTCCTTCTAGAAATGATAGATCTTTACAAATGCCCTTGCCAGAAATACTGGCAGTTTTAACTATCGAAGGAGTAGTTGTTGTACAAATACATGCCTAGTAATTTTGCTAGCATTTGCGCTACTTGTATCCTTTACCTGTGTTAATAGGGAGTGCAGTAACAGCGATTTTTTTTACTAACATTACCAATAGTACTACTGAGAGTGCATTGCATAAACGTAGATGTAGATTCTAGAGTTTAAAATGTTACTATTCTTTGTAGATTTAGTGCTAGCGGCCCCCCTTGCCAATTATGGCTACGACCATCAATGAAATTTGGAAAACCGATGCGTTCGCAATTTAGTACTGTACGTCTAGAGTTAGCGTCATTGCAGTAAAAACTACGTTGGCTATTGGCTCTAATAGAAGC